GTTGGAACAAAATTTAGAGCGAGCATCTTAAGCCATCCAGCTGGACAGAGACTGAGATGAGCAAAGGGAGACACAGCCATAGCCTGACTGTTACAAGACTGTGGAGGCCTCCTATGTGCCAGGTACTGCATAGCACTTCCTAGACACAATCATCTTAATCCTTCCGAAAGGGAATGGGTATTATGCATACTTTAGAGCCGGATAAATTGCAGTTGGGTAAATAATCACAGCCACAATGATGAGTGAACAATATGGAAGGCACCATGCAGAGCGCAGCGTGCGGATTGCCTCGGGCTGTGTTCACATCCCCAAGTGACTATAATCTTTGTGTTGCAGGCGTGAGAATGAGGTACAACAGGGATTAAAGAGACTGCAGTCCAGAGCAGCACTGCAGCGGCAGAGGTGCAATGGCAAGCATGCATGCCACAGAACAGGACTCCAAACCTAAGCTTCCAGTCCAAAGCTGCCAGAGTCCATGCCCAAAACGCTGTGTGGAGGGTCTAAATCCTTGCCTTCCTGGCCACCAAGTTAGGCAAAAGATTCCACTGTCCCCACCCACCCTTTTCACTTTCCTGGGTGTGGTGGGGATGGAGGGTGTGAACTCAGACAATAGACAGAACAACAGAGAAACAAAATAACAGTGAAAATGGGGGTCAGAATAGAAAACCCAGAAGACTGGCAGAAACAAAACTTAATAATGACCCTACAAATACACATCAATTAATGCCAGAAGAGCAGCAATCAAAAACCACAGAGAGCTCAGGATGCCACTGATGAGTTCCTGATTAGAAAGTCCTGTGGCAGAAGTAGTCAGGCTCCCTGGCTCATTCCACTGGCATGTGCACAGTAGGAGTGTTGCGATGTTGCTAAGCAACGCTTGGCAACCAGACTTCAGAGTGGATCATGCAGTAAGAGTCTTGTGGGGGGGGGGGACAACTCTACAAGGCAGTAATTCTAGTTCATGAAATTCAAATTTTAGATAGCAGTATCTCATGTAATAGATTACTAGGAGGTAGCCCTTGGGCTCCCATCAAAATGCAAATCTGTAATAGCTCATCTTGCCCTTGTGTTTTTGAGGTTCGTGAGTTTTTATTCAACATATAGTTGTTAGAAACTTCTTAAGTGCCAGGCACCAGCCTAGGTACAGAGGAGGATTGTGGCAGCTCACAGGTGAACTGTGTATTACATAAGGAAACCACAAAGACTACACCAGAATCGTACTGTTAAGAGGTACAGCAATCCACAAAGTTGTATGGCACCCTGGAGGGAAGGTGCCCTCCCTACTCTATAGGCTACCCAGGAGAGCCCTGTGCCTCTCTGAAAGGCCACATCACCATGGTTGGTCCAAAGAGGCCACATAACTTGACAGACTGTCCCTGGTCCTCTGAGCTGGCCCTGAGGGCTGGGAGTACCAGAATGCAGGGTTTGGCTGTTGAGCATCTTGAAAAGTCTCCCACTTGACCTCTGGACCTCTGTGGTCAAGTGGGGGAAAGCCTACGACACGGTGTCGGTTTTTATTGGGCCCAACCACCGGCAAAGCTTGCTGTCATCTGGAGTGATGGAGAAAATTAAGTTACCACATTCTCACGTTTCAGACTCTCGCCCGCTCTCCTTCGCAAACAGGAAATGTTTATTTAAATACAGCAGTTTCCAGCATGTTCTGGAGCAGAGTGGAAAAAGCAAAGATGTCCACTCTTGCTCCCACTGCCACCATCTAGCTGTGGGTGAGAGGTGGGCCTAGGCCTGCCTCAGGGCAGGACCGGGAGAAGGGGCCCCACATGAGGGTTCCTTTTCATGCAGGCTGAGGCTGTGGTTGGAGAAGAATTACATCTGTGGGTTCCTTTTGTACTCAGAAGGGCAAACGCAACATCTGTTTACCCTGCACTCCCTGGTAAATGTTTTGTCTCAAGCACCGCCATTGACTTCCTCTCCTCCCAGGGCCGCTGTCTTTGCTGCTTGGATAATAAATGACACCGAATTCTCCCCTCCGTTTATTTAGCTTACTTGTGGGTGTTACCTCCTCCTCTAGGAGGGGGAAAACTGTCAGTAGTTTATAAAAGACAGAGGGTTTCCTTTTCTGTGGGATGCGTTGACATTATGAGGGAGAACTTGGAACACAGACAACCCCCCAACTCTGAGAGCAACCTAATGATGAACAATTCAGACCCCATTCCTAGCCTGAAGTCAAGTCCAAATGGGGACTACTACATCCTTATCACTTGGACTATCCTTAATGTCATATGACTAGGTGAAACTCTCTCTCCCTCTCTCTTTCTCTCTCCTTCACAAGAGGCTTTCTGGAAAAAAGTACTGCTTCTTTGTTTTAAAACACAATTTCACCATTTGGGAGAATGGCTCTGCTGATAAAAATCAGTGTCCCATGACAGAAGGACCCCCAGGGGACTTAAAGGGGTCTTCAAGAAAGGTTCCCACTTCCGACTCTTGCCCACATCCTTTAAGCTGAAGTTTTGGGTTTCTTCTCTGTATCCAATGACTTTATGGACAGGGACAGGAATGCTATAGAAGCTTCAAGCAATGTTTATTTAGAGAGAGAGAGAGAGAGAGAGAGACAAATTTTTTTTTCTTTTTTGATTTTCGAGACAGGGTTTCTCCGTTGTGTGTGACAAATTTGAAATCCTTAACATGGTATGGCTGGATCCGAGTCCCTGAGAGCCAGGATGGGTGTGAAGGGTTGCTGGTGAGCTGCCCTTGAACCTGAAGTGGCCCAGTCCTGCTTACTCTAAAAGGCCACCTCCAATCTTAGAGAGGAGATATGAGGTCACCAGAGGCAGCTCTGTCATATCCATGCACTTAAAGCCAAAACCTTACCAGTGAACAAAGCTGTGCCAGATAACCACAGACACGTCAAAGTGGCAGCTCTTCTGCCCATGCCTGGTGGTGACCATGACTCCAGTAAGGACATCCATGGGAATGCCCTTCACTGAGGTCTTTATCGATTGCCTCAGCTGTAGGGCACATGAGATGTTCTAAGTCACCAGGGTCTCTGGGGGAAGTGACTGGTGGCGCACGGACTAGTTTTTTGAAAACTTCTGACTAGCCAGAAGAGAGAGAGGCCCACTGCCCTGATCTTCCCAAACCGACAACATGATCCTGACTTTGGGAGGTAGTTTCATGACCCCTAAGAAAGAGAGCTGATGCTAGAGAAAAAATAAAACGATGGCAGTCTATACCAAAAGCAGAGGCAACTGGGTCCAGCCCTGAGACGCAGCCCAGATAGACCCTCCCCTCCCAGCACTGTCTGTCTAGAGATCTGGCCCAAACTGACTGGTTCCAAAGAGTCTGCCGAGTGGTGAAAGACCTGGGTTTAGAAGCCTGGCAGACAGCGATTCAACTTAACTGCTTACATGACCGAGAATACATGACAAGATGGAACAAGGCAGAGTAACGAGCTTTGCCTATGTAGGGAATTGGACTGCTGGGGAGCTTCAAAGCGGTACCAGGTATACCCCACAGGGGAAGCACCCACGAAACATTTGCACAGCTTCCGTCTCACTAACTCATCTGTACCACTCACGCGAGGAGGGGAACCTTAGTTAATACATACCTAAAAATACCATTGAAACGAGATTTTTCACTACTCCCTGAATGAAAGTGCGGAGCCTGGATTCCGGCCCTTTTTCCTCTCACTTATATTTGCTGTTTTCTTGGGCAGGTTAGTTTGCACTTCTTATCCTAATTTCCTGATGTTAATGAAGAAGCAGGCCCAGCCCTCTAGGATTCTACAGTTCAAGCAACAGAACAATCACCGCACTTTGAAAACAAAAAATAAAACATAAGGAAGGCATTTCTAAGAAGTCTCTGCCTAGACAGCTACAAAGAGGAAAGGGAAGACAGGAGGTGAGGTGAGAAGGGGTGGGTGGCCAGGGAATTCGGCTCCTTCAGCACTTCTCTTGACCTGAAGAAGGAAGGACTGAGGGAGACCGGTGTGCCTATCCCCAAAACAGGTTGGGAAGAGAGCAACTGGACAGTGTACTGGCTGGAATTCTGACTAACGCACCCACTCCTAGGCTCCAGCTCCCTTCAACCGGGGCTCCCTGCTCCCTCACCCCGCCCCCAACTGTGGACTAAACGGAGCCCACCCCGAAGTCCAAACTTTGAATTTGGTCTTGAGGATCAAAATGATAAATCTTCCCAAAACGCTGACATAAGAAAAGTAAATATTTGGTTGCACAATTGGGGTTAAAACGAGGGTCAATCCACCCCACTCTCCAAGAGCCTCTCCGCTAGCTGCCAACCCCAGGATCCGAGGCTGAGTGCGGTTTGTAAGATTATAGCGCTAGGTCTCATTTAAAGGGCTGTCAGCATTTCCATTCTCCGGCCCGTTTGGGGAGGCATTTATAACCCAGCCATAAAAAATTCACCCGGGCTGCAACTTGGCATCTCCAAAGCTGCGCTCCAGGCAGGGAGGGTGTTGAGAGCACCCACTCAGAATTCGCTCGGTTCTTCAGAAGTTAAGACCTTCACGTACACTCTCAACTTTCCTTGCAAGGACAGCCACACCGCAGCTGGCTCATTCTGATCTCCAAGCGGGTCACGGCTTTTTTTTTGGGGGGGGGGGGATAGTTCTCTTGGATCTCTGCAATCGCGACTCCTCATCGTCGTCTAGCTTGCTCCCTCACCCTCTCTTTAAGAAGCAAGGAGCTTGGACCCCTTGCACACAACCTCAAACCTTGAGACCACCACGCTTCCCCACCCCTTGCCTTCTATATCAGCTTTCTTCTCCGGAGCTGTCAGTAGATGAGCTCCCAGAGCCCTCACCCAGAGAGGCATTCCCCAGTCCCCAACACCGGGGAACTCGGACTCTTCTCTCCACACCTGCCCAAAGCCACACCACCCCCAACTTAGCGAGAGTGTCTGATGGCGGAGGGGAAAACTGAGGTCGTCCCCAGCATGCGGGAGAGGAGGGAAGGACCTGGCGCCCCGAGGGCGACTCCGTAGGAGCAGGGTGGGTGGCCTGCGCGGGCGGGGTGGGTACTCACAGGCGCTCTGCGTTGCGGGGGATGCCCCGGGGAACGGCTCGCAGGCCCAGCCCGTGGCAGTCCACGCTAGCGGCGGAGCAGGTACACTTGGTGGGGCAGGCGGCAGCGGGGGGTCCGCTCAGGACGCTCACCAGTGCCAAGGCCAGCGCCAGGCGGGCGCGCACGGCGGCGCCAGCCCAGGTCCGCCCCGGGGCCATAGTGTGCAAGCGCCCGCGCCCAGAGGAGGCTGCCTGGCGCGGCGGGACACGAGGAGCCCGAGGAGGCGCGCGGGCGGCCTGGGGGGCGGGCGGCGGAGTTGGCGCGGAGGAGGGGCGGGCGCGGCGTTCAGGCGCACGGGGCGCGGGCGGAGCGGGACGCGCCGGGCGGTGGCAGCAGCTCCATCCGTGGGGCTGGCGCTGCCCCGCTGCGCATCACTCAGGGTGCCCAGGTACCGAGCGCCCCCGGGTCCCTCTGGGTCGCCGGCAGAGGTGCGAGCTCAGTCTGGGTCCTGGGCTGAGCGCCGTGGAACACAGCGCCCCGGGAAGTCCGGCTCAAGGCTGGGCTCCGGAGCACGGAGGCGACCAGGGCACGGGGTGGCCGGGAGAGCTGGCCGGCGCTCGCTCTCTCCATTCACTGAGCAGAGCAGACACCGGAGACGCGGGGCCCAGCCCTCCCGCACCCCCTCCCAAAACACCAGCTCCGCCTCCCATTGGCTGCGCTGCTTGTCACGTCGACTAAGTTGGGAACTTTGCTGGAGCAACCAAGAGCCCGGAGGGAGGAGGCGACAGGGGAGGTAGAGGGATCCAGCTGGGAAGGAAAGGAACTTGGTCTGGCGGACCCCAGGAACGAAACATGGAAAATCACCTATTCTTGGGAGTAAAGGATAAAGCTTGTGGCTTTTTTTTTTTTTAATTCCGGCACTGAGCTGTCTTCTCAGTCCCAACATGGGAGCATTAGAAAAGAGGCCTGGTTTTTTTAGGTTAAAAAAGAAAAAAAAACCCAAGGTTGGACTAAGTGGAGTACTTACCCGAAGTCACACAGCTTCTAGGTATGCTGTGCCCTGGCACATTTATCCATGGAAACTTTGTTCCTACCCAGTCTAGTATTCACTAAGATCAACAAGTACTTCCTATAGGGCTTAGGGGTAGGAATACACTCCACAGCGCTCGCCCTCTCTCTCTCTCTCTCTCTCTCTCTCTCTCTCTCTCTCTCTCTCTCTCTGTCTCTCTGTGTGTGTGGGGGGGGGAGCACTGCTGGCATATTCTATCAGGAGAAATCCAGCTTTGCTAAACAATGCCTGTTAAATGTGGCTGATTGTAGTAAAGGCACTTACTTGAACCCCCTATATTGACAACAACACTTCAGGGTCTCGATCATCTACTTCCTGTTTGGATGACTCTGGGGCATTCGTGTCACCTGTGAGCCTTTGTCTCCTCAAATAAAGGTGCCATCGTCCTGTCCGACCTCCTCTGCCCATCAAAGAAGAGAAAGTGATTTTTGCCTTAGCCTGCAAGGCACCCATCATTCCTTCTACCCCCAACCCCCCAGCCTTGCCTTCATTCTGCCAGTGCCTGCTCTAAATTGGCTGGTCTGAGCTTTTCCAGATGCTGGTGGGAAAGGACTGTGTTAGAAGCTCCATAAATGCTTATAGGAATGATTTTGTTTGTTTGTTTGAAGGGAAGGGGCAGGAACAGGAGGAAGTATTGCCCAGACTTTTTGAGGTCCCCTCATACTGGAAAGGTCTGAAAGAGCCTTGCTTACATTCACACACATGAACACACACACACACGTGCTCACGCACACACACACACAGCCTATACTCTTAACTATACACAGCCACATGCACTTTCACACACACACACACACACACACACACACAACGTGTAATCACATACAAAGGAGACCGTGGAAGTTCTTACTTCCTACTAACAACTGTGTTTCTGGGAATTCTCTTTCCTTTCATTTGAACACTATTCTGATGTCTTCGTTTTCCTTAAAGGAAACTTTCAGCTGCTTGACTACGTACTATAAATATATAGCAGAGGTGCAAATTTTATTTTATTATACTTTGCAGATTTTTGGAGTCTTTGCTTCAGGCACCCAATTGCATACCTCCCCCCACTTCTCACTCTCTCTCTCTCTCTCTCACACACACACACGCTCATACACTCATACCCCAACTCCAGCGTCGTTCATAAGAACAGGAGGTGCAGTTTTTTGCTGTTATTCTTGGGAATAATTCTCTGCCCAGATGCCATCGCCATCGCCCTCTGGTGGTCAGAAGGGAGCTAGACTCTGCATCTCTGGGTGACTTCAGCATTTAAGAACTCCAAACATGCCTTTGCCTCCTTCCTCTGAAGCTTTCCTTCAAACCTTGAACCAATTTAGTACCAGGACTGTGGCAGATGAGAGGACCAGGCAAGGACCCAAGGGCACAAAAGCATCTCAGACTGTCTGGAGCAGCTAAGGGGAGAGTTGTCTTTGTTTTCTGAAATGCGTGTGTGCTAAAGCATGGTTTGCAGCCCTACAGGCTGGGTCCGGGTGGGTTCTCTTAGCACAGTGGGAAGCTTGTGTGTTTCTATTTAAGCCGCTGGAGGGTTTGAGTGAGAGCCTACTAGATCTTTAAATGACTTCATAGGCATTCAAATGTGCTACTTCCTGGGAGAAGCCCCTTAAAATAGACCACATGGGTCCTTCAGAAGTCAGTCAGTCGTCCTTAAGGAAGGGGCAAGTGGAAAAGACACAGGTAAACAGAATACCACGGTGTGCAGAGACCTGAAATCACCTAATTGTGCAGTTCTACACCTATCCGTCTTCTGGCGATGGCTGCACCGCATGTTTCTTCTTAGGGGGAAAGATTTCCATGGCAAAGATAAAAGTATCGCTCCCTTCTTGGAGATTTTCTGTAGGTTTGCTGACTAGTTTCCCAGTTAACCTCTTTTGGGGTTAACACAAAACTCTCTTGGAATATAAGCTCAGAATCTCAAATGTAATGCAGGCCTTGTCTTTTACTAGGAAGGAAAGTGAATCTCAGAGAGGGGGGCCATCTGTGTAAAGCCACCCAGCTAATCAGTGAGAGGCTTTGGACCAGGATCCAGGACTCTGTTTCCCCCTCTGCCTAACTCTGGGTCATCTTCACAATATGTCAATCTCCTCCTGGAAGAATTAGCCAGCCCCATTGGAGACGTCTGGGTAAATCATTAGGAGGTCAGGCTGCTGGGTAGAACTTTCTATGCCCATATATATGCCAAAGATAACTTTCACTCTGTGGTATGATTTTCAGAGTTCTACAAAAGCCTTTTGAGCCAACTTATTTTTTTTTTAATTTCCCCTTTCTTTTCCCATCCCCCAAGACACCCGCCCATCCCCCAAGAAAATTCGTTTCAGGCCTCTCCATCACCTGTTTTGTTTCCCTACCAGGCCACCATAGTCAGATGAGGTGTTCTGGTTGCAAACAATATACAATAACAGTAGAGCATCAGGATCATAAAAGACATTATGCTTGAATAAAGAAAGCCTTGGTAGCACAAAGACTTTTAAGGAAAGAACCGAAAAGGACTTCAAAGAAGCCCAGAACAAAAGTGAGATGTCATAAGACTTCCAAATTCCTAGTACGATTCAAGGTGTGGACTAGTTTGGATGGGTCATGTGATCACTCTTCTCACTAGAGAAGACAAAAGCAGCTGGTACCACTTCCATGTCAAGTCCAGTTGGCTGGCAGGGAGTAAGGAGCTCCTTTGTCAATGGAAAACAGGCATGGTGAGGTTGTTAGCTACAAAGGTGGCAGAGGTGTGGAAAGGCAGCTCGCCTGGGAAGCACCTCCTCGGTCCCACAGCACACAGCCACTCCTGTCCAGTCTCGCATCTGGCCCCTGCTCATCTCTGGTCCTCCTGCAGGAATCTGGACCCTGGATTCAGGTGTGGCTGTTGCTCTCTTTGGCTCCCACAAATATTACTTCATTGCTTAATTGCTTTGGCTCTGTGAATCCATATTCTGTCCTGAAGATCCAAGAGTCTTTCTAAGATGCAGTTATTAGCTGGGAAACTGGGATCTGCTCTTCCAGCTCATCTGCCTCCTTTTCTCTGTCTCTATCTCTCTGAGTGTGTGTGTGTGTGTCTCTCTCTGTCTCTCTGTCTCTATCTCTTTCTTGCTCTCTGTCATTCCCACTCAGTAGTTCCCCAAGACATCATTTTCTGCTCTGCCTTTTATCTCTGGCCCAGGTTCACCTTGTCTATCAATCCCTTCAGAAAGCCTAGATGATCCAGACTGTTAGATTTTAGATTCTTTTTGTTTTGTTTTGTTTTTTGTTGTTGCTGGTTTTTTTTTTTTTTTTTTTTTTTTTTTTTTTTTTTTTGAGACAGGGTTTCTCTGTGTAGCCCTTGCTGTCCTGGAACTCCCTTTGTAGACCAGGCGGGCCTCAAACTCAGAGACCCACCAGGCTCTACCTCTCAAATGCTGGAATTAAAAGCATGAACCACCACCGCCATGCTGGGACTAACAGATTCTTCAGGACAGTGAGCCTGCCTAATCCATTGCTTCCAACCTTGTTTTTTTAAATGCCAAGCATACCGAGAGATATGCTGAAACAACTTTTGAATGTTCAATTCCTACAGGTCTAAGCAAACCTTTGATGACTGCTAAATGACCAATTGTGTCAACAATTGTCCCAATCAGCTAGTTTATCTGGCATCCTGTGACAAGTTTACTTAAGGTGACCCGCATGACTTCTTTTAGGGGAAGTCGGGGCTCCATTCTTTCGGTGCCATTGCAGAACATATCCATTCTCCTCTCCTTCTTTCCTGATACATTGACTTCTCTTCAGCGTGGCCAATCATCTGTTCGGGGATGTCTGGTGGATTCCTCAGATCCACCCTCTGCCCACTGTCAGAGGTAGTTATATTCCTAGAAAGCTGATCTATCTATCACCTGCACTTCCTCAGGTCTGACCACATGCAGAGCTTGCTCAGAGAGCTGGAGGAGAGAGCTTAGGCCTTCTGCTGAAAGAGCTAGAATCTGGCCTTGTCTGTCTTCTACTAATGGGGGAAGCTTGCGTCCAGCATCCCTCTCCTCCATCTACCTGTCTCCTTGGTAACCAGTTTCATCTTCTATCTCCTATAGGAGGTAGGCGTTAGAAGTGGTTTGCTATCATTACTAAGCCTCGAATGTTTCCCATTTTGTGGCTGATTCCTGATTCCTACCTCCTCTTTCCCTACAGTCTCTAAACTGACTCTCTTCTGCTGCTTCGTGTTGATTTATCCATTTACCACGAGGGATCCTGAAGCTGACAGTCCCTCACAGAGCTACCCACAGATCTTTATGGAGTCAGGGAACAAGGACTTGGGGAGAAGATAAAACCCCCAACTTGTGTTGAGATGTTGGTCATGTTAAATCTTACTAGAAGAGAGAATAATTCATGTGTATAGATTTTAGATCATTTATAAAATATATAGAATTGAGGGAAAGGCTCTATCAGTTGAACCTGGAAGGACACTGTCATCATCATCATGAATGTTATAAATATTATTATTATTATTATTATTATTATTATTATTATTATATCAAAGATGTTTTTCTCTCCAGAAAAAGAAAGAGTACTGAAGGTTTATAGCTACTCTATTAACACAATCCAAAGA